GAATCAGAAGCTAAGGAAGTCTATTGCTAAAGATTCGCCCCCCAAGAAATGGAATCCTTTCGAGTTCAACAAATTGAAAGATGGATATTTAGTAAAACTGTTAACTGGATCCTCGAAGGCACAACCTAGAATTGTTCCTCTCTAGATTAGACATGACATGTAGAACACAGTTCAGATTAAAAGTAGTAAACTTGGAGAAATATCTCCCTGTTGAACTCAGCTTAGGCCTTAGAAAATTAGATTATACAGTGTTACCTTCTGAAGTAAATCCCAGTTCCATTGTTAGTTTCTGGTGTGAATCATTATAGTTGTAATGTTATTGAAGTTAATCTAATCTAATTCCTGTTTTTTAAGTTCATTCTGCCTTTTCGTTTCTTATTAATATACAAAGAGAAGAAAAAATTAACTTTTGATTTATTTATCATATCTTCTAAGACAATTAACCCTCTCGCAATTCACAAGAATGCCATACACATCATCAACCTAACATCTATAATAAACCCATATGCCACAGAAGAAGAAAAAAAACAAAAACAAAAGAACAAAACAAAATGTTACAAACTATAAAAAAGTGGAAGAAGCACTAATAACAATTATTGAAGGGCTGTTCAACTGTAGCACTTCACAGTTCACACACCAGAAAGTTGCACGAACGAAAAGATGATCAAACCCAGAATGATGATGAAGTTTCCAGTGGCCAAGGAGGCTGAGGAGGAAACCGGCAAGGCAGACCCAGATGGCGAAACGCCTGTTTCCAGAGCAGGAGCCAGAAAATTATCTGGGTTTGGAGGACTCGGACTTGAAGGAATTGTGGGAAAGGAAGAGTCAGCTGGAGATGGAGCCATGGCAGGGTCACCAACTGGAGAAGGAAATAGTGGAGTAATGTCTGGAGATAATGAGCTAGGAGATGGAGCTAAAAGAGGATATGGCAACAATGCAGGTGCTGCTGATATACTGTTGAATGTTTGTACATGTGTTTCAGATGGTAATGATTTAGTGGAAGCTAAGGAAGAAAAGAAACCCATGAAGAAGATACTGAAGATTCTGAAAACCAAAGAAAAGGAAGCCATTTTAATGATGAAGGTATAATGAGATTGTGTGAGTGTGTAATTTCAGAGAGGTGGGGGAGAGGAAATTGATTATTTAAGTGGCTTAAAAAGTAAGTTGAGAAGGTGAAGATGGTGAGGAATGGGTTAGTGCTGGCGCTGCTAAATGTTAGAAAAGATAAAATGGGGCCTCTACAGCTCTGCATTTTGGCTAAGGGACAAGATTGGTTTGTGTAATTTTCTTGTGTAGCACATGGTTGGGGTAGTACCTCTGCTTTTTTCTCATTTGAAAATTTCTTTATTTTGTGGGCTAACATATTTGATAAATAGAGTATTCTAAAAGACTAAAATATGTAAAAGTATTATATTTATATTATATTAATTGTGAGAACATAGATATAGTAGGATTAACTAATTATTAGTTAATTAATTAATTATAGTTTTAATACAAATTGATTTATTTTAATCAACGAAATACGAGAAAATTCCGTTCAATTCTTGATGAAAATGAAGTTTTGCAAATTCTCTCCAGAACTGGAAGATCATTTCAGGATTTTTGAACATATTTGAGGTTCGACGTGATTATTGTCACTTCGACCAACACACAAGATGAGACTTTACCACAATACGACCAAACTAAAACGAAATAATTTTTTCGGGTCTTTAATATGTGAAGGAGAATAAGACCAAATAATTTTTTATTTCATCTCGTTCGAACTGAATAACTTGATCCGATATAATTTTTAGATATGAACCGAAAAATACACGTCTCGAAAAATTTGAGTCATTATTTTATCTATCATGCTAATACGCATAATTTTCAATAAAGATCGACATAAATTTTTATCTTACATTTAAAATAAATTAAGAAATTCAGTACAATTTATTTATAAATATTGAAAATTTATAGCCGTTTGCCTTTTATGAAATTTCACATATAATTTTTAAATTTTATTAAAATTGATAAGATTTTAAATACGTTGTTTTGATTTTAAATAAAATTTTATATTTTAAAAATTTTGTATTTTCGAATTTTAATTTTTTTTTATAAAAAAATCTGAAATCTGGTTTGAGTTGTCAATTGCCCAGTTGCCACGTGTTAGATCAAAAGCCCATAAGACACTTTTGGGCCAGCTTAATTATTGGGCCGGGCTCGGACTATTCATATTTAAAGTTAAGGCCCATTTTTATTTATGTTTCTTATTGGTTGGACATTCACTTAATCATTAACTAAAATAAATATATTGCACATATATATATATATGTATATATATATAAGCAGACATGAATTTGTATACCCCAATAACTATTCTTATATGTAAAATTTATATTTAATTATAGCATAGAAAAATTTAATTTTAATATATAAAAATCGACCCAATAAATTTAATATAATTTATAAATTTTACGGAGTGGATTTTTGTACGTATATAATTATATAATCTATAGTTTTCTGATAATTTACTAACTTAAACCATCATATTATAAAATTATTAATGTAATGAATTCAATAAATTTTTTTTACCCATTTATTAAGAAAATACAAAAAAAATGTTGACTTTAATTAAACACGTATACGTAAATACATACATTGACCGTGTGGATCGTGCTTACAACAATTTGATGACTTCACGTAAAATTCCAACTTTTCAAAGTCTTCCTTAATTTCAACCGTCTGAACTAGTCGACCCACCATATATACATACATACATACATACATATACAGATCCATATATCTATACATAATATATATATATATATGTATGTATATATATACACACACACACACAAGATCTTTATCACTATAACGTGGCGAGATCAACTCTTCATCTTTATCACTATGCCATTTGACTCTTCCCATCTGTTCTTTCTTTTTTTCTTATTTATAAAATAAAATTATGATAAAAAAGTTTGATTTCGAAAATATTATTCTTTTTAGGTTATACATACACCCTCCCCCATATAACACACTATTATCTAGTGTTTATATATATATATATATATATGTATATGTATATATCATGGATGCATCATTTTTCTTTTTTTAGTTAATGAAAATGTATTTATTGAAATTAAATTTTACATTCTAAATAATTTAAAAAAACAATCACTTTTAATAACGGAATAAATTTCGTTACTAAAAATTAGATCGAATACTCTTTAAATTCTACAAATTTACGTTACTTTTTTTATTTTTTTCTCGAAAAACTTCCGAATTATTATTTTTTTTACTTTTACTTTGTATAATAAAACACGAATAATTTATTTTTATTTATACAATCATAAAAAACTATATTAATAAAAAATTAACCGTATAGTAACAATTATTTTATATTAATTTCTTTGTATTGTGTACACCTTGTTTATATCGATGCATTTAGAAATTTTATATCCAAGAAATTTCTATAGAAATTAAGCCTAGTTTATAAATATGTTGAATATAATTGAAAATTTTTGTATTTTAAAATTATAAAAATTTAACAAGCCATGCAGTTAAATATTATGTATGTATGTGTGTGTGTGTGTGTGTGTATGTATGTATGTATGTATGTATGTATGTATATGTGGGTGTGAACGTGTAATTGGTGTAGTGCAAAAATTTCAAAGAAGCAGAGAGTGAGGGGACAAAGCAAAAAGATGCAGATGACTCTTGCTTCGTAATGTCAGTATTGCCTGCCTGCCTCTCTTTCTTTTCATACTTACACTTTTACTTTCTCTATTATTTTAATTTTCAGCATTTTCCATTTATTATAATTTAATTTTAATACTTTTTTAATTATTATTATTGACTATTTATTTATTTCGAAAATCTATTTTTATTTTATTTTTTAATAAAAAAAATTTAAATTGATAAATGATATTTGAACACTTTAAAGAATAATTAGTTAAAATTATTTGAGTTATTTTATAAAACAATTAAATATAATTTAATTATTATAATTTTTTTAAAAAATAAATATTTAAAATAAAATAGAAAATATAATGGATATTTGAAATAAATAAAAAAATATAATGGATTATATTATAATAAAAAATTATTATGAATTTTAATTTTTTGGAACGAGACTAAAATCTGGCATATCTGCTTCGATATAAGTCGTAAGCATATTCCCAATGGATTAAATTAAATACGTCATACAATTTCAATGAAACAAAATAAAAAAAATAAATAAATCAAATTATCCTTTGAAAAAACTATATTTAATGTCATTGGATTATATAAATGTTTATATATATATATATATATATATATATATATACATTGAAGATAAGATTATCTCACCTGGGTTAACTTTCTAAATTTCTTTTTTTTCTTGGGTTATGGATAATATTTAATGACAACTTTAATTAGTAAAGAATTATTAATAATTTAGTTTTAGGAAATCCAACTTCGAATTTAAAAACCCTTTTAATTTTTTTAATTACTCATAATTTATTTATATATATATATATATATTGAATATAAGATGATCTCACCTGCGGTTAACTTTCTAAATTTCTTTTTTTCTTGGGTTATGGATAATATTTAATGCCAACTTTAATTAATACAGAATTATTAATAATTTAGTTTTAGGAAATCCAACTTCGAATTTAAAAACCCTTTTAATTTTTTTTAAATTACTCATAATTTATTTATATATTTATATATATATATATAATATAGTATGAATTAAGAGAGATTTCAAATAAAAAAAAAGGGACGAAATGGCTGCAACTACTTATTCTTAATCAAGATTTAATATTAATTAACTCGTGTGGAATTGAATTTCAATTATGTTAATTATGAATAAGAACTTTATTAGTTACTAATTAATTAAAACTGGTGAGTATACTAATAGGCTTCATTAATTCAATTAGACTTCTCTAACTTATGAACATAATTAAGTTAAAAAATGTCACTAATTGGGTATGTATGATGCCATTCTTTTCAATCCTGCCCCATCATTACCTTCTATTCATATAATTGTAATATGTATCTATGTATGTCTTCTATGTACGTACATACATAGATACACACACACACACACACACACATATATATACACACACACACACACACGTATACAGATGGAGAGAAATTAACAAAGAAAAAAATGAGCAAAGAAAGGGAAGACAAAATGGTGATCATAGTCGGAGCTGGTCCTTCTGGTCTGGCCATGGCTGCATGCTTGACCCTCCAAACAGTACCTTACGTAATCCTCGAAAGAGAAGACTGTTTCGCTTCTCTCTGGCAAAAATACTCCTACGATCGTGTCCATCTCCACTTACCCAAAAGTTTCTGTCAGCTTCCTCACATGGAGTTTCCCGCCACCTACCCCACTTACCTCCCCAAGTCTCTCTTCCTCCAGTACCTAAAGGACTACGTTTCGCACTTCAAGATCCAGCCGGCGTACAGGAGGTCGGTGGAGGAGGCCGGCTACGACGAGTCAATGCAGAAATGGGTGGTCAAAGCGAGAAATCTAGGAACCGGGGAGGTGGAGGAGTATTTTTGCCGGTTCTTGGTGGTGGCGAGTGGAGAAACTACGAACGCTCATACGCCGGAAGTTGAGGGGTTGACGTCATTTTTCGGCGAAGTCATACACTCGACACAGTTTAAAAATGGTAAAGGGTATAGAGATCAGAATGTTTTGGTTGTTGGGTCGGGTAATTCCGGCATGGAAATTGCTCTGGAGCTTGCAGAACAAGGCGCCAAAACCTCCATTGCCATCCGTAGCCCCGTAACATACATATATATCTTACACAAACATATATATATATTTATTATGTATGCATGCATGGTATGCATGAGATATTGTTTGGATGATGCAGGTTCATATTCTGTCAAGAGGGATGGCGTACGTAGGCCTGAAAATGTTGAAATACATTTCTGCAAACATGGTAGATTTAATAATGGTGGTGATGAGCAAAATGGTGTATGGCGATTTGAGTAAATACGGTATAAAGAGGCCTAAAGAGGGTCCGTTCTTCATGAAAGTCGCCTATGGAAAGTATCCTGTGCTCGACGTCGGTACCATCGAAAAGATCAAATCTCGACATATTCAGGTTTGTATTAGTGTAATATATATATATATATATATATATAATAATTTTGTAACAAGTAAAATAAGCTTGGATAAATGAATACATGTATATATATATTTATATATTATAGTTAGATATAACTAATCTTATCCAGTGTTTAATCAGTAATTAATTATTACTTGACTTATAATTAAGATATAATTAATTTGGCGATCAACAATGAGTTGACTTTCAGACACACGTCCTGCTCTCTTTATATATATATATATATATATATATGTTTAATTCTTATAATGCTGAAGAAATTCAATAATATTATATTTAAATCATGTAGGTATTGCCTGGCATGGAAAGCATAAGAGATAAGGAGGTGGTATTTGAGAATGGCGAGTCACATTATTTTGACACCATTGTTTTCTGCACTGGCTTCAAGAGATCGACTCATATGTGGCTAAAGGTAATTAAATTTATTTATTATTAAAATTTAATTAGTTAGAATTATACATATATATATATATAAATATATGTATGTATGTA